AACAAAGCTGCCCTACTTAACTAATTGCCTCCTCTGGGTTGAGTGTTAATTAAACAATTTGTTGCTGCTTATTTCACAAGGTGTGGGGCGCCCTCTCTCTAGCCCAGGAAAACAGTTCAATGTGGAGCAGAGACGTGCTCAGTGTGGGCCCTCTGCCTTCACATCCGAACAGGTTGTGAGGAGAGCTCTTCCGTTTTCATTTTGGCCCTAGTTGGTTCACCCAAAGTCAATCTCAATTCCACCTTCAGACTCTTGACTTCAAACTTACCTTTGCACTCTTGCCAACCCCTCCTTTTGCACCTGCTCACCAGGACTGGCCAGCTTCCAAGCACTGCTGAGGTTGGTCCCCACCAGCTGGTCTCACCTGTCGCCCAATCTAACTCTTTGGCACCTGTCTGTGCTCAGTTACAGGTGCCTGAAATCCAGTCTGGGTGCAAGCGAAGGCTGTGGGCCTTATCTCACTTTGCCATACAAACTATAGTTTGAGTGGCTGACTGCTTTGCTGTGTCCATGAGATGCTGTCACAGGTGGCCAGCTCTCCCATTTAATCCACAGATCAACCTAGAAGGTCAGCTCTTGGAGGGCAAGGACTGGTCAGGTTCTGGGAAGGGTTGGTACTGAAACATCTCTTGTTGACACACAGGGTTTTATGGATCAAGGCATCATTTCTGGGTCAACACCCCAGCCTCTCAGTGTAGCTCCCCCTGCTGGGCAGGTGAGGGGAAGCACAGCTTCTGCTCCTGAGTAGCTCCTCCCTAGATCCTCACAAAGCCCACCCATGGACTCAGCAGATGGCAGCTGCTCTGGATACTAATGCAAGGACACTAATGTTCCCTCTCTGCAAGGACACTAATGTTCCCTCTCTGTCTTTAGCAGCCCAGAAGGAAGTGGACGGACCCTGGAGACTTAGCACCTGGGCAGATGTGAGCCACATGCATGGCCTGGAGAGAGGGGGAGCAGAGGATGTGTGCGGAGAGCTGGAGGAGGAGGCGATGAGAGAGCGTCATCTCCAAGAGCTCCCATTTCTATTCCTGCTCAGCCCGAGGCCTGTTTGCTCAGCTTTTCTCAGATTCCTGGGAGACCCTCCAAGCCCTAGAAAAGCCCCGTGTTCCTGGAGCCCATCTTTGTAAAACCAAGAGTCTTAGCAAGAACACTCACTACAAACAGAGCTCCTCCACTCTACCTTCTTACATTTCAGGGTCCACGCAAGATTTTGACTGGAAGTGGGAACTGAAAGGATTTAGCTGCTACTAAAACAGAGTTTGAAAACCAGGCTCCCCCTGGTTTTACTGAGGAGGACACCGAGGCATGGAAAAGGTCAGCAGGGCTGGTTTTATGGGAACTCAGGAGGAGGGGTGTGGGAACCTCTAGAGCAGCGGTTCTCAACCTGTGGGTTGCGACCCCTTTGGGGGTCAAATGACCCTTTCAAAGGGGTCGCCTAAGACCATCAGAAAACACATATATAATTACATATTGTTTTGTGATTAATCACTATGCTTTAATTATTTTCAATTTGTAACAATGAAATTGGAGGTCACCACAACATGAGGAACTGTATTAAAGGGTCGCGGCATTAGGAAGGTTGAGAACCACTGCTCTAGAGAGAGCCACCTGGACCCTCCCTCCACCAGCCTCTGCCATAACCGCAGGTGTGGGCCCCACGGGCAGGCCCCAGGATGAGTCTTGCCATTTTCCTCTTCTCCCAGCCCTTTGCTCACAGCCCCCAGAGACCTGTGCACACCTAGAGGCACAGCCACCTCCTTTCCCCAGCTGGCCTGCTCCTCACCTCCCTCCTCTGCTCAGACCCCAGAGCCAGGCATCCACCACAGGGACCTGGGCTGGGCAGAGGCACGTGGAGCCCAAAGTCTTACTGACATTTGTTTCCATTGGTAGGACTCATTTTCCTTTCTTTCCATAAACACTTCTGATTCCCTCAATCCAAGCCCAATTCCCCTCTACCTGGCTCCGCTATTCGTCAATGCACCCTTCCCTGCGGGGCAGACTGTGACGGGCACACCCAGTGCTTCACTTTGCTTCCATCTGAGGTTCACACCAGGAGACCAAAGGGCACATTTTAGCTCTTCAGGGAGAAAGGCGGCACCTGTGACTGTGGATTAGCACTCACTTCCCGTGGACTGGGACCTGCTCCTGCACAGCCACATGGTTCATCTACAATCCCTTCCTAAGGACTGGATTGGTCCTTGGCCATGGCAGTCAGGGAGTAAGGGGCAGGCACAAGGGCAGGTGCCTCATTTGGAAACAGGAGCAGCATTTAGGAAGCATAAATCAAGGGTGAGGCTTTTAAAGGGGAAACTGCCCAGATAGCACTCACTTCCCACCCTGAAGTCTAGTGTGTGTATAAAATGCCCAAGCATCTCCGGGGTTCACGCTCACTCTGCGTCTGATACCCGCCTCAATGCCATAGCTGCACAGTCCCCCACAGCAGGCAAGGAACACACCTTATTAGTCTCATTAGCCTCTGCATCCCCAGCAGCTAGTGCAGGGACATGTGATTAAGAAGAATTCAAAAAAATGATAAATGAATGAATGAATGGGTAGAGCTCCACAGAGTTGTGGCTTAGCCATTCCTCCAGAATCCTAGTAACCGGACCTTTCCCCCGACAGGCCCCCCAAGCCTGCACCTTACCTCCCATGAGGAAGAGAAGCCCGGCCACATACTGCATAAGGCCTCGGTCCCAGCAGCAGCCTAGCACGCCGATGATCCAGCCGAAGAGGATGATGGCCACCGCCATGCCCATGAAGCCGGCTGTCATCCTACGCAGGTCTGTGGGTAAGCAGGAGGGCAGGGGTTAGCATCAGAGCCTGGAACTCAGCGTCAGGGTGCACCCGAGCCCAGGCAGGGGGGAGCGGTGGGGCACTGCGTGGGGGAAGGAAGGAACCTGCCTTTTCAGACAGGTTTGCATATAAACCCGTTTGTAGAGGCCAGAGCCCCGATGGTGACTGCATCGTGGGTACATAGGTGCAGGGAGAAACCATCATCATAACAGTTGTCACTTGCATGCTTCCTCTGCACCAGGCACAGTGCTGTGCGTCCAGCATCTCTAACAACCTTCTGAGCCAGGTACTGTGTTATCCCTGTTGGAAGATGGAGCAACTTGCTTCACGCCATAGACCTAGTGAGCGTTACATCAGAGCATCCAACCCAGATTGGCAAGGCTCCCAGGTCCTAACCTCAGCATCATTCACCTCGCAGCTGGGCGGGGTCAGGTTGCACCTGCCAAGAGCTCCCTCCCTCCCCTCTGGGATTTGCTGGTTCTGCCAGGAGGTCCTGTGTAAGGAGGATGCTGCCTGCAGCTGCTATTTCCTTCCCTCCAAGTTGGCTCCCAGGCCTCAGCTTTCTTGCATGTGGGGCTGCAGGCTGGAGAGTCACACCTCCTTCTCTGAGACTGAGCCCAGAGCAGACCCTCTCAGCCCCACACCCAGGTCAGTCCAGCTTCTGAACCAGGCCCTTCCCCGCTCCATGCCCGACAAAGCCCGGCATGGGTGCAGGAAAGAGGAGGGCTGTCTGGGAAGGAGGTATTTTTAGTGGCAGGAAGAGGGCAGAGCTGCTGCCCACCTTACTGAGCTTAACTCAGCCTCTCCATCAGCTTAACTTCCTCCTGGCTCCTCCCTGCCCGCAAATGCATACCCCACCCCACCTGTCTCGTCCCTGAAATCTAACCCTCTAATACCTTCTCCTGGGTGACACCCACCCATTTGTCATGGACTCCTTCCACCCAGCCCCAGCACCTCCGCCTGCAGCTCCATGTCCTCCTGTGTTGTCCATCCACCTATATCTGGGTCTATCCACTAGCCCCCATCCTTCCGATGAGGCTCCAAGCAGGAGTGAAGCCATTGCCAGGGCCTCTGCCCCTGAGGACATTGCCAGAGAAGGCTAGAGGACCCCTGGGCATTGCCTTCCCCCAGAGGAAGAGAGGGAGGGTGAGGAGGCAGGGCAGGGAGCCTGATGGGAAACTACATCACTCCCATCCCCGGGAAACAATGCCCCCCACGTTTCCGTGGGGAACACCTTGGGATCCGCATACCTCACGAGGGCATCGCATCCCCTCTGTTCCCCTCTCATTCCAGCCACCCCATTGGGAGCCATGGCAGATCCTGGGACTCGGGCTTGAGACCTTCCATTCCTCTGCCCCCAGGAGAGGGATTTGGTCCATGTCCTTATGCTGACACTGAAGATCAGCCCTGGAGGAAACTGGTTGGGAAGTGGGGAGGGAGTTAGGAGACAGCAGCTGAGCTTGTCCCGTGAGGAGGGGCCTGGATAGGGAGCAGGACAGACCCGGGCACTGTCACAGAGGTACAAGTCCACCAGGGAGCTGGCTCCTGCTCTACCGAGGTCCTCCCCGCTGACCCAGGAGGCCTGCCCGGCCAGGTATAATACTCATCATAGTCGTTTATGGGAACTGCCAAGGATGCTTGATTTTCATGCCCATGGGAATCAGGCGTCAAATGTGTTCATGTCACCAAATGTGTCTGAGGAAACTTGGTGTTGAGCGCCATTGGATCACAGTGCTCAAACATGTGTGTGCCATGCTTCCTGAGCAGGCTCCCTGCTCCGGGCTCAGCCAGCCACCACCAGCATGGAATTGGGAAAGAGCATGCCTGCCAGCCGGGCCAGCACCACCCCTTATTCAGCTGCCCACAGTCCCCCTCGCCCTCCAGCTCCCCACAACGCTTTCTCCACTGCCACCAGGATCAGTCCTTTCTTCCTTGGCCACCACCACAGACTGGAGTGAACCAGGCCCCAGCTCCCTCCACGGTCCCCTCTACATGCGCGTCCATTTGGACTCATACTGGAGACGATATACTCTTTGCTCCAGATGCTTCGTCCACTCTCCACTGTCCTCAGGGGCAACGGGCTGTGGGAATGGGAAGAGAGGCTGTGTATTTTTGCTGGAAAGGAGGTTCATATCCCTTTCAATAGGTTGGGAAACTTCTCTCTTCTGCTCCTTTGGAACAGGGGTTGCCTTCGTGCGTGGAGGTTTCTAGGAGAAATCTTGGCCCCTTCAGCAGCACCAGAGTGGACGACCCTGCTGAAGCCAGAGAGCCCCTCCCTGCTGCACTCGGCCTTGCTCACGGGATGGCCTGACTGCTCCCTGCTCTGCAGACCATGGGAGCAAAGGTACCGCCTGGGGGATGGGGGGTAAGTGGATAAAGTGTCACTTAAGGTGTTTCCACCAGGACCAGGGACCGGGAAATGGGCTGGACAGGAAAAGGGAAATGCCAGTCAGAGAGAGAGGGAAGGTTCTTATTAGTGGAGGGGAAAGTAAGGTGTGTGTTACTTAGAAGAAAAAGAGGAGAGAGCAGGAAGGGGAATGGTGAGGATGATTCCTCTTTCAAAAGTTCCAAGACCATTGTGGTCATCCGTGTCCCTGGCCGGGGAGGGCTGTGGCCTCTCACATGGATAAGTGCACTTTGCTGTTCCCCAAAGGGCTATGTCAACAGAAGCTGAGGGTCCTGCTAAATTGTTGGTTGAGAAGGAAGGATGAAAACCAGAGATCAGGCCTGAGTATTTTCACTGACCCGGGAGGATCGTCACCATCGCCCCGTGAGCCTGATTTTGCCAGAACTGTTTATTTTATCCCTAAAGCCTATGTGGTAACTCAGAGTAGCTGCAGCAACAACCTGGAAAGTAGGTAAGACTATTCCTCTCTTACAGAGAAGAAAAGCAAGAGCCAGAGAAGTTACATAATGGACTATCTCAAGCCAGTGAAGTAAAAGGAGAGTGAGCTGTGTGGGAAAATGAAATTCACAATGTAACTAATGAGCTACTGGGTTATCATGACAGTGAACAAATGTATCCAGCATCTCTTCCTCCCAAGGTAAGAGATTTTTTAAAAAGATAGAAATGTATAAGGATGGAAAAAAAATAGGAAAGGAGAGGATGACAACCACACAAAAGCTGATGGATAGCCCTGGCCCGGTGTTGCTCAGTGGTTAGAGCATCAGCCCGTGCACTGAAGGGTCCCGGGCTCAATTCCCAGTCAAGGGCATATACCTGGGTTGCAGGTTCGAGCCCTGGTCCCATTCAGGGTGCCTGCAGGAGGCAACCAATCGATGTCTCTCTCTTTCTCTCTCTCTCCTTCCCTCTCTCTCTCCTTCCCTCCTTCCCTCTCCCTCTCTCTACCTCCATCTCTACCTCTATCTCTCTATCTCTATCTCTATATCCCCCTCCCTCCCTTCCACTCTCCCTGAGAAATCAATGGAAAGAATATCCTCAGGTGAGGATTAACAAACAAACAATAAAAAGGCGGGGGGGGGGGGGGGGGGGGGGGAGCTGATGGACAGTGTGACTGACTTAGCAGACTCAGAGCCAAACCTAAAGCCTGCAGCCTGGGAAGCTGCAAACCAACCTGCCCCATGCCCAGAAGGCTCATGAACTGGCCCCAGCAGTTGCCTTTGGATCAAGTAAACAAGGGGAGGGACACAAAAGAGGGATTTGGAGGAAGTTGTCTGAGATGAAACTCGATCCCTAGACCTCCCTTCTCACTCCCCTACCTTGACAGTGGAGTTCCAGTACTTAGGACTGGGGGGGAAGGGAGGGTCCACCAAGCAGGCTGGCTGGCCAGCACAGCTGAGAGCCACAGCACAGAGGGCGATCACGTGGCTGTGCACATAGAGAACACTGATGCTTACTCTTGAGACCCCAGCCCTCTCTACTCGGCTCCCAGGAGCTCACGGCCCGGCCTTTGCCCTCCAGCCTGGAGGCTGGGAGAGGCCTCTGTAGTGATGAGCAGTGCAAGAGGAAAGGCCTACCCCACTGCCACTGGGGATGCCTCAGAAGAAACCCCTGGGCCACTCTCCAAGGAAGCCCACCCATCCACTCAGTGCTTCGAGGCAGCTCTTTAGCACCCCAACCAGACAAGCCAGCATCACTGAGAAAAGCCTGAAACCTGGGAGGAAGACCTCGAGGAGATACTCTGAGAAGGAACAATCATTTAAGTCTTATTACTATTCCCAGAGAGACAGGAGAAGAAATGTAGTTTACTTCCATTAAATAAGAACAGGATACTATTGAAAAGAACTATCTAGAGAACAAAAATAACACCTTAAAATATCAGAATCAAAATCGCTGAAGCTTATATTGTAAAATCATTTCTAATTTATGGGTTAACAGTCCCATCCTGCTCCAAAAAAAGATGAAAGGAGGCTTGCAAACCACACACAGTGTAACAGGATAAATGTGATTACTGAGGAAATGAAGGGAAGAGAAAAGAAGTAAATAAAAGTCCACGAGGTCCCTAGAAAGGTGAGTAGACTGGCCATATTTGAATTTAAAGGCATTAGTCATTATTCTCATTGCCTTAAAATCTCTAATGTTTTTGTTTGTACTTGGGTAAATCCCAGGGGCTACTCTGCCTATGGAATGTCCCATATGCACATGGCCCCGTTCCTGCCCACCTAGGTCACCTACCTGTCAATGTTATCTTATTAGAAGTAAAAACTGCCTTTTCTATTCTTTGTGACACCTCACTGGGCCCACAACAGTACTCTGCACCCAGGAACTTACATCACTTAGAGGTGTGTGTGTTTTTTTCCTGTCTCTTCCTGTCTTTTTAGAGAAAAATAAAGAAAAGAAAGACCTAACACACCTGTGGGAAGCCTTGGAAGAATATTTGCATGGTCAGCCTAAGAATAATCCCCTTGGGGGAAAAACACACAACAGAATAAAGAGGCCAATTCCACGGGCTAAGACTGAGATAAAGAAAAATCTTTTCATGAATTGTGTTGGGTTGGACTCCATTATCTACATTCCATGACCCTACC